ACTTTATTTTACTTAATACTATCGATAAATAAACTTATAATGTTATTCTATGACCTAACATTAAACCTTTTTTTAAAAACTTTGATAAGTTTAATATTCTGTTGTACAAAATGGTTAGTAAGGTATATTTACATTCCCTTTTTGTTGTTACTTCTTGTTTCATACAGCAATTGTAGCGACTTTATCACTGAGCTTTGCAGCTCTCTGCCGCAGGCAGACTGTTTGTCGTCGAGCGAATAATGCGCATGTGAGGTTTTTCTTGGGGAAACATTCTAACTAGGCATGCTTATGCAGCAAGTTCTCGGTCAGAAAGCGTAATGGTGGTACATACAAACAAGCGGAATAATAGTATAGATATCTGTGTGTGTGTGTGCACGCCAATCAAGAGAAGTTTTGTTACAATATTTTTCCCTTCACCTTTCATCATTGAAAATGTTATGAAGTTTAGACTCAATACAATACATGGACAAAATTACTGATATAATAAATGATACAAGATGAAATAGGAATTTTCAATAGAACAGTATCCTCAGAATTTAAACAGCTGCTTGTTTCATTGTTAATGGGCAGACTGTTTGTTTTTTACTATTTTCTGTCAACATTTAGAGGAGGATAAACAAAAACTATAACAGTAATTTTATTACTGTATATGTACAAGTAAATTATGAAATTTAATATTTCTAAAATGGATTTAACTTCTAACTCCTTCATGCCCAGGTGAGTTGATTCAATGGACCTGTTGTACAGTATGATTTACTGCATTGTAAAAAAACAAACAATGGATGAAATAGTTTTAAACTTCAGTTAAATTTTCAATGGATTATGTAGCTACTGAAAAGCCACTGTTTAAGGTGGAATCCCTTTGAAAATATTGTGTACTCAGTGGTACACATGCCATTCTGACCTGTCAAATCTGTAAAATGCAAATTTCCACAAGAGGGACTACATTTTACTGAACAAGTCTTTTTTAGGGCCATTATCATGGAATTCTATAAAAAGATTTGCCTATCATCTCGGCAAACCTCACCTTTATAGTAAGCAACTAAGGCACTGACCACACTGATTGTGGCTAGGTGCATGACTATTTATATATTTCTCTGAGTTATTTATGACTCATTATTCTAAGTTTATTTACAAAAGAAAGTATGGGTTTCTGCAGAAATGTTTCTGGGGGTTGGGGAGGGGGGCAAGAGTAGTGTGAAATTGTGAAGTGAATAAAAAACTTGTAAGTTCATAAGAATAAAGAAAGAATCATGTTTCTTAGTTTCTAGGGTAGGGTAATTACCCCCTCTTACCCTCCCCTGCGGACGCCCGTGAAAAAAGGTACATAAAGAATAAGAGCAATAGTAGCATGATTTACCTTACTGATAACTAATAAAGTATGCACAATACTATGTTACTAATATAGCCTGTAATCTACCCCTTACCATGTTAATATCAACACACTAGTGATGCAACCAACATTGAAGTTCTGGGTTTGGCAAAGCTAACTTACACATGTCTGTTGTGCCACATTCACACATATTACTTAAGACTTTGCTTTGGAAACTTAATAAAAAGTTGTTGTAGAATTGTAGTAATAACTTGTTTAACGTGAGAGTCACTAATGAAACAGTGTTAACACAATCCTATTTCACATCCTAACACAGCAGAACAACACATGATACTGTCAAGTGCAAAATGACTTAACTAAGCCTACCTCATCCTGTTCAACAAAAACTTTCTTTTCCTATCATAATGAACATCATAATTCAAATGAAGAATTATAAAGTTATGAAGCAAGTTTTTCAAAAGCTTAAAAAAAAATTAGCAACATATGACTAAGCTAAGCTTTTATCATCTTGTTCTGATCACTACATGAATCTCTGTTGAATCAGAAGTCATATGTTGGCTGACTTAACATTAAAAAGAACAGATAAAAGGCCTTTATTACATGTTTAGATCACTAGTCTATGGCTTCTTAAAAAACCAGAGATATGGGCAATTATGTCAAACCATGCCAACTAATGTTGTAACACAGTGATTTACTAAATTCAATAAAAATACACTTTTTTGAAGTTACAAAGTTCAAGTTAGTACTCTTTTGTACAAAACTATTTTGAATTTCCTCCTAGAGGCTACAGAAAAAATTCAGGAACTTCACACCACTAATGTTTACGTTTGGAGTGTGCAAACACAAAATCAAAATCTGCGATTATTTTATATATTTTTATGTATAAAATTAAATACATAAAACTTTTTCATTGAATAAATTTCAGCACTGAATTTATTTTCTTTAATGTGTAAAATAAAAACTACAAGTCTATTTTCTATAATTTTTGTAACTCAATGTTGCCTTTGAGGTGGGGTGTACCAATCAAGACGAGATAAGAGTTAAAACAAACCAGTCACGCATTTTCTTCTCAATACACACATGAAGTATATGTATATATACATGAATGACATGCTTCTTAGTATCTATAAGTAAAGGGTAACTTGTTGCAAATTGTTGATAACACATAAGATTATGATTTTACTTGTTTTTTTGTTATACATCTGTTACAAATGGTGGTTTTTCTGAATGTTAAGTAAGTTCCAGTTTGAAGTTTAGCAACTAGTTATATATTTGGAACAATTTCAATGACCAAAAATCTAACTGTCATCATTAAATTTCTTTAAATTCACAAAATGACTGAATAAGATTTGCACTTCCATACACACACACACATATGTAGTACCGTTCTTCTATACACATTCTGCAGGGGCTCTACATGTAAACAGTTTTACCTGTTTCAATAGTTTGAGCAAACAGTTCTAGGCCTTCAAAAGGTTGAGAACTTTCAGCTTCTTTTTCACTTTCTGATGATTGCTGTTTTAAGCATTCCTCTGCAAGCTGCATACTGCTAGTCATACTTCCCCACATGGAGTCGAACATTGATACTGAAAGAAATTAATAAATAAAGGATTAAACAATGTAAAAAATATATCAATATATATTCCTTCTAACCTATTATAAAAGCTGTGAAACCTAATTTAACAAAGAGAATTATTTTGTTACATTTAAAACTTCTGACAATGTTTCAGCAGTGTGGTTCTTCAGTACTCGACCATATGATACTTGGAATTTAGTGTAAAACTCGTACAATAAGAACACAGAAAAACCCACGTCACTGCTCTGCAAAACTGCAGTTGAACATTAAAAAATATAACCAGTACACATATGGACCATCTTAAATACCACATATATCTAACACGTGTTTCATATATTAAGGTCATTTATACCAAATCACTTTTAAGACAAGTTCTTATATTTTACTATTGCCCTACACTTTTTTAAAGTCTACCAAAAACCAATCAGGACCAAGTTCTGAAAAAAAACCCAGAGACATTTATATGAACCATTCATATTTTTTTTAAATTAATAAATGTATTATTTAATGTCCTATAAGTAGTTGCAGATCCAAGTAGGCCTTAACCCTCTCACCATTTTTTTTACAGAAATCAATAAAAAAAAACAGCCAGACATCCTTACACTACCATATCATCAGCTATCCATCGGAGTCCACAAGGTTTTTTTAATTCAACGCGTGTAGAGTCTACAGCAATTCAGTTAAGGTGTCAGCCAATAACAGATATTTCTAAGCTAATTTAACAATGTGAATGTCAATTAAATATTGTTATAATAAACTTTCTTGCCTTGGCTTTTTCTAGACATCCTAACAATGTGTCTAGATCTTAGAAACTTGTTTTCATTAAAGTTAATATTGTTTAGGACACCTGCAGCTCTTACAACAGACTTGTTACAGAATCAATTCTTCATTGTTTAGAAATTAGAATTATCAGAAGAATGACATTTTTTATATTGTTGATGTCTAAAATAAGTGAAAAACCAAGTGGTATGTAATTAATTTTTAAAGAAATTTTGAATGTAGTTAGGTGTCTCACTTACCAATGCTTTTTTTTATAAATATCATTATAAATAATTATAACTATTTAATTTCAAATAAAGAGTTCAAAATGCTTGTTTCCCTTCTTATTTGCATACCAATTACATTACTAGAAATAAAAATGTTAGCTTCGAAATCGCTGGATTATTGCCTGACTAGCTAATCATTTACCTGAAGAAGACAATGCTCACTCTGTCAAAACACGTAGTATGTATTAAAAAATTTATTATGCTTGCAAATTGTTGTGTCTTATGTATACAAGTTTCCTAGTATAATGTGTTTCCCTACACAAATACAAATAATCATTTACAGACTTATTTAACTTACTTTAGGTCTATGTAATTAACACTGATTAAAATAGCATATTATTATAGTAGAAGTCTCTTCTTTCATACAAGAAAATATGGTTAGTGTTATACAGCTAACTTTTAAAAAGTTAAATTTTATAATACTATCACTGTGAAAATGAAAACTTACAGCAGATAGCATGGAGAAGTTAAACGTTGTTACTTGTTAACATAAAAATATGGTATAATCTGAATAGACTTTCTAGTTTTGTTCTTATTCATGTTCTAGTGATTTTCAAACTTTGTAACATAATGCTATAACTATCAAAAGTATTATTTTATAAAATGATGTTATTCTAATTTATATTTTTAAATTTAGGCTACTTGAAGAATATTAAAAAAAAACTAGACTTTTAATTTGACTAAATACTCGTTCACTTAAAAAATAAAATTAGTTATAATAACTCATTTTCGCTTGGTTGGTTACAAAGCATTTGACTAATTATATATATACAATACTTAAGGCTCAAACATTGTCATAAGCACACTTTATGGAAAAGTGGTCATAATATTATTGCAACAGATGACTGATATGTGAATAAATCTTTTAATTTTTCTATAAATTAATTAAGTTGAATTGCCAATAAGATATGGTTTCATGAACAAAACTGTTAAATTACTAAATTATTGTGCCCAAAGACAGGGTTTCCTCTGGCTTTTCATATTTTTTTACTTTTTGATAAACATTTTTGAGACACAAATTTGAAAGTTAATTTTATATGTTACTTCTAACAATATTTCAACAATTTTAACTTAAAATTAGTTTAGAATCAATATTTTCTGACATTTATTTAGCATAATTCACAAAGAAAATAATTCATATTTTCTTTCTGCTTCTTCTTTTTTTTTGTTAGAAAGAAGACAAATTTACATATTGTTTGTACAAATTGACAAATTGTGCATCAGTAAACTTATTAACACGTTTCAGCCCAATGGTTCACAAAGTCAATTCAAATTTCCATTCACAATTCAACTTTCAAACTTAAAGAATACAATTCTAATTCTATTTCAACAATGAGTTATCAAAAATATTGTAGAATTGATATTTTAGCATTATATAATGTTTATTTATGAAAAAAAAAAAAGTTCACACTTAAATTCCTTTTGTAGCTCTTGGTGTCTTAACTATAAATACACACTTCTTGAAATATTTTGCTTGTTCCTAAGTTTATTTTTTATTTCCTCCCACCCATCTTTGAATCGACTGATTTTTTTCAAAACAGTACTTCACAACAAAATTCCAAAAACATTACAATCTAAAAAATATTACTTACACATACATTCAATTACATTTTAGGAATTTTTCAAGTAGAAACTATACACTATTTAAAAGTTTAATGAATTGATTTAACTATGAGAATGTAAAAGACTGGTGAAGTACTTTTGGCATCCCCAAGGTACAAAAATGGTTAACCAATCCAAAATGTGGCAAGTACTATGTATTCAATACAATATTAATGGTAAATTTACTTCTAAAAACAGAGAGAAAATCGTTAATGTAACACAACACAAACATACCATCTTCAGATCGCTGCTTGGGTTGAATTGTCATCATCAAACCACTAACAACAACAACACTGTTCTCTGTAAGCAATGCTGACCATGGTATGGATACTGATATAGAATTTATATATCCATCAACAAATTCGAGGGGTAAATTGTAAGTTTCTCCAAGTTCATTTAAGGCCTGAAAAAAAATTAACAAAATTTAATTTTTACACACAGACAAAATTTTCCTTTCAGCTTTTTCTTTTTTTAATCATAGTAGCATTTTCTGTGAATACCTGTACCTTTGATAAGCAATGTACATTTAAATTATAATGCATGATTACTGTATACACACTTGTAAGTTAGTAACATAAACATCAAGCATGCATAAAAAATATTTATTGGAATATGTTTACAATTAACATATATAATAACTATATTCACTGTCTTAACTTTGTTTTCTACTTTGCAGGTTCTTGTATATTACTAGGTGAAAATAATTCAACATCCAGTCTGACAACAGTCATGAACTCTGTTCTGAAATATCTCTTATCTTAACTAACTATTACAACTCAAAGCTTCACTGTCCTGTTCTAGAGAGTTCCGAGACTAATGTGAACTTAATGTCACATTACAGCTCCCTCTAACTAACTAACAAATTACAGCCTTGAAAATATAGCTTGCAAAAGTAGGCCTTTCCTGGATTGTGAAATCCTTTGAACAATCCTACTACAAAAACCAAATAATAATAAAGTAAGATAAAAATACCACACTAAATTGTCCATTCACCAAGTATTTTTGGTGGTGTTCTCTTCTGAGGCTCATGGTAAATGGATGGAATGACATCTTGTCCCTTGTTGTTGGTGGGAAAGTCCTCTTTAAATGGGCAGTCAATGAATCTACTCATCGGTCCAACCTTGATGATCCTTCAGAAGTTGTCCCAACAGAAATGCTGGGCTCCTCGGCAGGTTGAGGTTCCACTGACAAGTTTTTTCCTGGAGTTACTGAGTTGGCTGTTCTCTCACTGATGTATTTTCAAAGATGATCCCTGCATATGGCTTTCAGCTTGGACTGCCTATCCTCCAAACACCTGCTTTGGAGTTTGTTCTCTGTTGTAACAAGAACTGTTCAGCCATATGATGTCATCACAATGAAATCTGACTTTATCAACATTTACATAAAAACAACCTGCTGTTTTAACATAAGCTGATTCAAGTCTTCATTATTCATCAAATCCACAAATCTTCCAATCACTAATTGCTCAAAATATGCCAAAGTATTTAGTTCCACTACTCCCCAGTCACTAAAAAAAACAATTAATTCTGATAATTCCTGGATTAAGTATTTCACTTCTCAGTGGTGCACTGACCACTGCCCGTTTTCACTCGAAGTTCAACTTTGAGACAGAAATTGCAATATAGTACATAGAGACTTCTTGATCATTGACTGAAGATATATGAAGCCAGCCTAACCATGCATTCATGTTATACTTGAAACACCTATTTACTTGTGGTTTATTTCCTCTGTTCTGTTTAACTAACTATCTGATTAATTCTTTAAGTTCTTCTATACTATCTTTAGGGAGAGCTGATGTTTCAATACTACACGATTTGATATTCCATTAATAGTTGATCTGAAATTTTGATGGATTCAAATTCCATCACCAACTTAGAGCTAAGTTCTGATCATGGAGCACTCCAGAAAGGTCTTTTAGTAACATGTAGTACAGTAGTAGTGGTAAGAGGTGTAGGCCACATTAATTCTCCTTTTCTATCTCTTGTTCTTGGTTGGAGTTCTTGAGCCAATGCAGAAAGAGATATGGCTAATTTATCTTTGAATTTCATAATTCATTTTTTAGATGTCATATTCTGTCACCAGTATTCTCTTCTACCTCAATGATGCTCACATCTACTCTGCTTCAGCCTGACCCTCATCTGTTATGAAGTCTATAAATTGGTCACATGCCAAGGAGTCCTTCATCTCAGAAGGAGTGTTCAAGTAATACAGATGGACAAGCCTTTTCATATCTCCTACAAGTTTAGCTAAGGTTGCTTCCTTCTTCCATAACCATTCTGTAACTCTGCTTTAGATACTTCATTTTAGTGTAACAACTCCAAAACTGTTGTATTAGGCAGCTACCAATGCTTGACAGTTGTTATGATTCTCAGCTTTGAGGTTGGTGTATTAATGTTGTCAAAGGTGGTTCTTTTAAATGGACAGCCAGACAGACAGCTTGCAGTTTGTTATTCCATTCATTTGCCCTGGAAGTGATTTCAAAGTGAACTTGGTACTATTCCCAGGGTACTTTCCCATCATAGGCTGTAGATTGCTCAATTGGCCAATGTTGATCTAGCCAACTAAATTCTGATCCTGGAGTATTCCAGAAAGGTCTTTTAGTACATGTAGTACAGTAGTAGTGGTAAGAGGTGTAGGCCACATTAATTCTCCTATTCTATCTCTTGTTCTTGGGTGGAATTCTTGAGCCAATGCAGAAGGAGGTGTGGCTGTTTTATCTTTGCATTTAATAATTAATTTTTTAGATGTCTCATTCTGTCACCAATAATCTTTTCTACCTTATTCATGTTTTTTCATATTTCACTTCTGATTTCACCAATGTTCTCTTGTACTTCGTCAGTCTTGTTGTTGGAATCTTTCTGTATGTCTTCTATAGCTTCATTAATCTTGTCTTCGATCAGACTTATTTCTATCTTCAATTTTTATTTGAACATCATGTTTCTTCTAATTATATATTTCTTCCTTCCTGATCTTCTATTTTTCTGTAAATTTCTTCTTGGTTTTCGTTTAATTTTCTGTCTCATTCTTCAAACTTTCTGTCCTGTTCTTCCTGGTCTTCATTTATTTTTCTTTGCATTTTTTTCTTGATTTTGTTTCAATAATTTCATCAAATTAAGCAAAGATTAATTTTAGCTCTTTGATCTCATAGTTTCAATCTTCACAGTTGAAATTCAACTCAAGTACATATTCAGTTTTGTTATATTTTCACCAAATAAATGCCACTTCTGAAACCAATTGTTGTACTTTAGTTCTTTCTTTGCAGTTTCTTTTAAATTATCAAGTGAAAATAATTCAATGTCCAGTCCAGTAACAGCCATAAATTAGAATACTCCCTCCTTTAATGTTATTACAAGCTTGAAGAACATTATAACTTGTAGGCCTAAGTTTACAGCCACATTAACTGTACTACAACATGGATAAAACTAACATATACAACTTAACATAATACCAAACAGTGATAACAATTCTCTAATCTGATTTAACTCTCTTTTATGCATACTAACTCTACTATTACACGAGGCTTCACTGAACCACTTATATAACTAAGCCTTGTTCTAGAGAGTTTTAGGATTAATGTGAACTTAATGTCACATTATGTTATGAACAAATTCACAGCTCCATCTAGGTAACAAACAAATTGCAACATTAAAAATACTGTAAACTACAATGTATATTGAAAGTATATATATCAATTGAAAACTACAACTACAATTTTCTAAAGATGTAATTTCAACAGAAGAGATTCAACTAAACACAAAATTGAACTTTAATCAGGACCATATAACCAAACAAGTAAAATGAATATGTCAAAGTATAAACCCTAAATTTGAAAATATAAGGAAAATTCCATAATATATAGAACCTACAAAATATATACACATTATTATTTAGGTTTATTAGAAATGGCTTATAGCAGCAATGCAAATGTAAATTAACCATTTGGGGTTGATAATACATGATGTTAAGTACATCAAGGCTTGAAATTTCCACCCACTAAACCCTGTTTAAACTATTACAGATAATACACACACACACACATCTATATGTATATATAGTATTTATAAAAATATGTGACATTTACTGTAATTAATTTTAAACCTTTAGAAATTCTGAGAATGCAAATTTACAGCTGCATTTATTGAAACAGTAACTACTTAAAAGTTGAAAATAAATATATACTCAAACACATTAGCGAATCTAGTTTTAGAAACATTCTTCATATATACATGTAAAATACTCTATTAAGATGCAATTAAAAGATCCCATAAAAGTTAAGCTTCAAACCTGATTAGAATAAAAGCATGTACTGACATAAGGATTCATGTACAATGTGCATAGCAATTCTGTTAAAAGAAATTCACATAATTAAAATATGTTGATATTTATTTTCAACACTATTATATTTAAGAAGTTGTTTGTAAAGACTCATTGGCATTCATAAATACTTTCATTATGAAATAAATGCATACTATTTTGAGCAGCTAAGTATATTACAAAAAGATAATTTTCTAGAAAGTTTCACAACAGATATATGGAACTGTCTGTTTTGTTGATTCCATACAGATAATGGCTTTATCGTCATTTTTAAAATTTAATATTATATATATATGTGTGTGTGTGTGTGTGTGTAAACATAAACTCTGATAGGTGTGCCATACAAGTACATGATATACTCTGATGCAGAAGCTACAAAAGTTTTAAACATAAACTTTGATAGGTGTGCCATACAAGTACATGAACACTGTGAACTAGATGCAACAAAAAGTTTCACTTAAGATTTATGAGAACAATTAGATCAAGATATGCAATATATGAATCTCTGAATGATGAGAATAAAACCTCTTGGTTTGATTGTTAGATTACAATGAGAAATACACACACACAAGCTACAAAAGTTTTAAACATAAACTCTGATAGGTGTGCCATACAAGTACATGATATACTCTGATGCAGAGGCTACAAAAGTTTTAAACATAAACTCTGATAGGTGTGCCATACAAGTACATGATATACTCTGATGCAGAAGCTACAAAAGTTTTAAACATAAACTTTGATAGGTGTGCCATACAAGTACATGATATACTCTGATGCAGAGGCTACAAAAGTTTTCTGCATCAGAGTATATCATGTACTTGTATGGCACACCTATCAAAGTTTATGTTTATTAAGGTATCAAATATATGTAATTTTACAATAGCCATTGAATACAAGATTTTCTAAAGTGGTATATTGTGAAAAGAATAACTACAGTACAGAACATCAATAAATAGCCCAGTGATTATATCAATTATTGTCATGTAAACTAACAGATAAACCAAAATTATGATTAAGTCAATTATCATGAAAATAACCAACTAATTATAATTAGGATTTCCAATTGTTACTATTTTTCCATTACTCCAGCTATCGAAGCAATCAAAATACTGCTATCATTTTTGTTTGTTGTTGATCACAAAGCTACATAATAGACTATCTGTGCTTTGTTGAATTTTAGTCTTATTAGTTGTGTGTTTCTTTTTTTACTTCAAGTTTGTTCAGCTTTGATGATTTGAACAGGTGCGGGCTACTGATTCAAGGGTTGGGTTTGTTTCCCATTGCCACTAAAATTGCTCACCCTGTATTTGTTATAGCAAAGTTACTAAGGCCATCTGCTACAGTATCTAATTTTGAACTACCGATTAGAGTGAAATCAACTGTTCTGCAGCACCCACTGCCAACATTTTTTTTTTTCCCTGTAGGTACCATGGTTTGAGGAACGCTGTACTAATCAATTAATTGATTAGCAAATATCACTTATTGCCCAACACTATCAGTAAAAACATGCTATAGAATACTAAGGGGTGATAATATGTATATTCTATCATCAACTGTGATATTATGAATAGTGGCAATGAATTCAATGTTTTAAGCTCCCAGTAAAAAGAAGTGAAAATACAAAATTGATCAATGCCATATTATTTTAAGGAATGAAATGTGAAAATAAAAATTATCAAGTGTATAGCATATATTCAAATATTTATTATTATTATACTTGAAATCTACAGATATCATGAGAGGGTATGCTATACAATCTCACACACACACAGCAAAACTGTTCAACAGTCAACCACAAAGAATCTGTTACATCTTTAGTTAAATAAGTATTCAACAGCTGAATGTAAATTTTAACAATTTAATTGTTGTGTGAGCTTATGTGATATAAAAACAACAGCATAAACATTCATCAATAAAAGATAACACAATTAAACTGTGAAACAATGAAATGGGTAAAAATAAAGTATCTTATCTTGCACTATATCAGCTATTTTAGATTAAATATCTGAAGAATTTATAACAAAATAAAATTATATTCAATACTGCTTAGGCATAAATTAGATATAGCTTTGAAGAAGATTGTACTTTTAGGTGGGGAAAATAGTTGAGATAAGACAATTAAAAAGCTATAAACAATACTATTTGTTCCATGAAAGCCCTGTAATAGCTAATTTGTAAGATTGACAGTTTGTAACTTCAGAATTTGTGGTTCAATTCCTGCAATGGGCATGGCTTTGTGCTTAATAATAACACACAAATTATTCAATAAAATTTTCTACATTTCTTTGAAAGAGGGTTTTCCAATTTACAACAAAATACATAAATGTAAATCCTCATCTATTATATCATTTACTTTATATACAAATGTAAATTGCTAGAACTGATCCACCACTGCAAATGGAAAATTTTATTGTAAATCAGAATCAACACTTTCTGATTTCATAAAAGTTACTGAAAGACATTCTGTAAAGTAGCTTCAATGAGAAATAGTAAATTGTATTACTTGTCAACTATATATAGTATTAAGAAAATATTTAGAGTTCCATCATGCTAGTTCTATCGCTGATGTTATAAAATTAATAAGGCAATATGAATATTGCTGTAAAAATAATTTGGTACAAGTATCTAAAGATAAATTATATTCAAAAGAAAATCAAAGACTTCATTCACGAGTAGTGAATAAATACAGAGTAAACTAAAATGGAAAATTACATATTCATTGTTACTGTTCTAGTAAACTGAACCAGAGCAAATTATTGTACAGTTATTGTGACAATACTATATAGTGTATACAGAATCAGTCTGGGCAATAATAATAATGAAAATGCAAGAAAACTGGAACTAATGTATAAAAAGATTAAATTCATCACTTCTTTGGGCAAAGAAGGAGGAGTGTAAGACAATTCTTCCTTCTTTTGTTAATTATTATTATTATTATTATGTTTTGATTTTATGTACTTTGGATTCTATCATTTAGTCGTATTTTCTCAGGACAATGACAACCAAGAAGGTTTGTAAATTAGTTTGTCAAAATATGTAAGCAATCTGATAAGTTCTTCTGTAAACATCCAAAAGTACTAATTTGATGAGTTATCTTGTCACCTGTTAGAAAATAAAAGTTTAAATGAATAAGAATTAAAGCCAAGTGTTCAAGAGAATATAACACCAGATACTATTTGAATTGCTTACTTAGATTATTGTGACATATAATTAAAAAATGTTTAGCATTTTTTGTCATAATTTCTGAAGGTAGGATTTTTTCTTTCTGATTCTTTTTCCTAACTTTGTTAATGCTTAATGCAGTATTATGTTTTTATTTTTAAGTCAAGGCTATTTGATTGAGTTAAAGGTTTTGAAACTACAGATGTCTTCTTTGTAAAAGTTTAGTCTTGGCATTATTTTTGATTCCTACTCATATGCATACGTTCCATTTTATAAAGGTTTTTTAATAAATATTATTTTTATACCTGGTTGTAATGTTTAAATTTTTCTCATCCAGAATAAAAGAGCTGTTAAATTGTAACTGATTATCTATTCATATATTGTCAAATGATCTAAATTAAACTACAACATAAATATATTAACTGATTTACTACACAATGCACACAGATGTAGAAATAGAAATAACAGTAAATTGAGGTCATTGCCTATGCAATGTTTATGGCGTGAAACAGTTATTTTAGATATATCAAAAAATTATATAAACTGTTCGAATGTATATAGATAATAAACTAATTTAAATGGTTAGTTACTTTACTTCTTAAGACTTATAACTATATAAAAAAATAACTTACTTTAGAAATTAAATTAAAAGCTAAATATCTAATAACATACCTCCACATCCAAATACAAATCTGTAATAGTTCCTTTTCCACTATACAAGTCAACACTAAGCTGGTCTAGAGAAAGCTTTTCATTCAAGAACTGACCAAGATATCGTTGAAGAAGATAACGACATGCCCTTTTTTTTATTGCATCCGACCATGGAAAATACCAGGGCATCTTGTTAAATGTTCTTTTTTATTATTTTCCTGTAATAATTAAGTTAACGAGAGAGAAAAACTACAAACAACACTGAACGAAATCAGCTGATCCTATCAAAACAAACTTACGACGCCATTGCAGCTGCTATTTGTGATGTAATTGGCATAAGTAAAGTACCTTTAGCCCTCACCAGAGGCCTTTCGAATATTATATCCTTCTGACGCATTGTCCTCTTCCAGTCTTTTTTTTTTTTACTTGTTTTTGTTCTATTTGAATATTAGAATATTACTTTTTTCGTGCTTTTTAGTAACTTTCTCATGCTTACTGTGTTTCAACATACCGGAGAGGTATCCAGACAAGATGAAATAACAAAATTCCAGCTGTAACTTAAAGAAATGTTGAAACTATACCATGATATGAATTATACAATGTCATGCCAAAATTAGCACCTCTACACAACATGTTATTTTGGAGCTATACATGTAAGTGAAAATGAGTGCATGAGAGGATAACTTTAATTCATATTCACCACAGGTTAGCAAAATAAAAAGAGACAACATAAAAAAAAACGTGAGTTTGATATCAAATAGTAACAATTATAATAGCATCATTATAAAAACTAAAAATGCTCAAAATCGCTGTAGAAAATTCAAAATAATCACGTTTTTGTGATATGGCCTTCATCGAGCTAGTACCAACAAAGATTGCTTGGATGAAACGTTTAACTTATTATTTCATTACAGTGATTTCAACCATGTCTGAGTTGTACTGAATCGTATTCAAAATTATGGCTACTATAAAACTTGATGATTAGTCTGCTGAATTATAGATCGAATGAACAGTATATCGATGAACAAGCTACGCAAACATAGCTGTCAGATGTTAAAATTGTAACAATCTATCCCGATAATATATTAAGAGTTGCTAATAGTAAGTAGCAGGGTTTAAATTGGGAATGTTTATGCCTGAATCCTAAAGATCTTTGTGCTATATGTTTTGCGAATGTTCTCATATGTTCGCATTTTTTTAATCAACAAACACATGATATTTTATTATTGGAGCTAAGCCAAATATGATTATTGTTATGCTCGAAATTGACCTACAATGGTACTATCATGGGCATCACCAGTTTTTTTGCTGTACATTTAATTATGTTATTGTTAATTGTTATTGGTTTAATGTAAGTGGCTATTGTTCGGGACGAACAATACTAAGGAGGGGCAGTGTTGCGTCAGCGAGGTCACGTGACTAGTATCACGCCACGTCCTTCTCGAACCTTCGTGAATTATCGGGAGACTACTACATTGGGGGTAGTCTGGTATATATAAGATGGTCACAACGTGACGGAACAATGAGTAATTGAACTGCAATCAGAGAGTGTGTAATTGAATGGAGTATTGTTGAAGTCGAGCTCGTGAAACGTGAGTTATAGCGTTTGTTATAGAGCGACTGTTGAAATTAAGTGTATCGTAAAGTTGTATTCGGAAAGAATAAACACGTTTTATTTAAGAAAGGACTTGTGTCGCTAAAGTTTCGTCGGAACGAAGTTACGGAAAATTAACTAACGAACGGAGACGTAACAATACATTTTGGGGGTTAATCTTACCATTTAATTGACCAACAACTGTGTTACAATACAATATTTGATTATTCTTAAATTGAAATCCAAAACCAAGTCAAAGATAGTGAGCGTTTAACAGGAAAGATCAATTAATCCGGGGCATAAGCTACAAAATTAACCTGACTGACACATTATTCAGACACAGTTGTACCGAAAAAAAAAATTACAAACACAAAATTACATTTCAACAAAGTCTCTTAATTTTACGGGACGTATCTTCTTCCGTACTGGTCTCCATCTCGTTGGCTTCTGCTTCACGTGGGGTTCATTTGCTTCATCAGGAAATGTTCTATCGTCGATAACAATCACATCAGTGGTACTAACTTCATCAAGAGCTTCACCCCCCCCCCCCATCACTAAAATCATAATGGGCAGACAGTAATCGAAATATTCTATCTAGATAAATGCATTTTGGCTTTTATGACTCCTCCTATTTCGTGAAATCAAGCGTGACATGACACACTGTCTTTTATATTGGTTAGATTTCTGCTAGAGGACATTTCAAGATGGCGCTTTTCGTCAGATCGTAAAGCTTTGTTTGTTTATTTATTTATTTTACTGTATAATCTTTCCAGTTTCAGATTATAATTTCTTTTTACTTTATTGGTACAATCTTATTTTCTTTTGTATATAAAATTGTGTCAATATTTTCGTTCATTGACATTTTAATTTCATTCCTTAAAAAAATAATCGCAATGCTTTGACACAAAAAAGTGACGATCTGATGAAGAGCAATAACTAGAAACATCATCTTTCAATAATAAATTTGGCGATTTTGTTACCTATTCACTATTTTCTGTGACTATCTCGTCTGTGAGATAAAAATTTCTGCTCTTGAGCTAAACAGTTTTATAGATTTTTCCGACATCAAATTTTATTAATCGTAACACCGTTAGCATTTTGTTAATTAGCACAGTGCCACACAATGAGCTGTCTGCATTGTGCCCACCGTAAGTATCGAAACCCGATTTTTAGCAATACAAGTTCTCAAATTTACCACTGACCCATCGGGGGATACGCCTTTCACCCTCCTAATTTTCATTTCGAAAATATTCAGTAAAAAACAGCACATTTTTACGCGCTGCACCGTAAAACTGCGGGATATAGCTTCCAACGACATGGTACAACAACAAGTATCCCTCCGCTTGAAGACAACACCAAATATTCTACTTCTTCCAATGTTCCAAATATTAATGAAACGATCCAAGTTTCAACAATCCCCAGTCATTTGGAACTGTCGTCCAGTGAACTGAACGTTATAAATAAAGCAGTGGAAGATATCGGACTTTTTAAATCCCATTTTTTTTAAAAACCTCTCATGTGTATTCTTAAATTACCCCTCCATGTGATCCTTTCCATAAATTTTCTTCAAAACATTCCTCATCAACATTCCTTATCACACTTAAGTACATCATTATTGTTATTTGAATAAAGCTACTGATAACTAATACGCTACGAAATTCACCAAATGAAAAATCTTTCTCACTGCCTCAAAACGAATGATTTTTTGACTGAGAAAATTTTCTCATTTCCTTACC